GAATGGCTCTATTGCCCAATGTGGCAGTCACTAGTCATAGGTGGATTTTTAATTTAAATTCATCAACATTAAATACAATAAAAAATTTAGTTACTTAGTTGAGGTAGTCATGTTTCAAGTGCTGAACCTGTGGCTAGTGGCTACCAAAATGGACAGCACAGTTATAGCCCGACACAGGGTTTGAACCCACAAACCGCGAAATCTTGACCTGAGCCTAAGTTGGATGCTTAACCAACTGAGCCACTGAGGCGCCCCTTTCCAAACTTTCTTTAATGAACATGTGCTGCTTTTATAATGGAAGTAGGGAGGCTTTACTTTATCTTAAAAAAAAAAAAAAATCTTTACTTAGTATATTTTTGGGCTAACTACTTACATCCACTATGAAGTCTTCAGCCTTTAGTTCAGTTTCTATCAAGATGTCCTTAGGTTTAGAATTAGCGAGATCTTCTGGAAGGCTTTTATAATTTTCCTAGAAAAGACAACACTCCTTACATTAGAGCCCCCGTTTTTCATCATTAGTGTTTGTGCCACAAAAGGTTCCCTCTCTAAAAATGGCACTTTACTAGAAAGAGTGGGTAGAGATACCCCTAACAAATACAGAGCTTCTAGCTTATGCCATCCTTCAAACACATCACAATAGAGTGATTCTCATAACAAAACTTCCACATTAAAAAAAAAAATGTGGCATTGACTTAATAGGAGGAAAGTGTTATGAGGCAGGGTGTGGTAATCAGTGTGGCTCATGTTACTGGCTTTCCGGCAAACAGAAAAACCTTCCATCAGCAGGAGATGAAAACAGATATGGATATCTGGCATGCACCATCTGGGAGAACCTGATATAATGTGAAAGAAGAAATTAGTAAACAGCAGGTCCTTCGCTTCTCAGTGAAGCTCATGCAGATACCTTATTTTGAGGCCCCATTCATTTTCTTGCCTTTAGATCTAGCCAAAATTTGGGGCACCCCCTCTCACTTCTGGGATGAGAGAATAAAGGTTTAGACTAAGACAGACTTGGGTTCAAATCCTAGCTCACTAACTGTGCTTCTGTAGGCAAGTTGTTTAATCTCTCCCAAGCTTCAGTTCCTTCATCTATAGGACCAAAGAACATGTTATTGATGAGATTAAGTGAAAATGAACGTAGAGGGCTTAGAACAGAGTCATGATATTGTGATGGGTTAATGGCTTCCTTTTGGAGGTTTCCTCTCTTGGAAGAGAGACATCTTTCACTATTAACAACTCAACTTACCTTTTCAATTTTTGTTGTTCCTTTTGGTTTAGTCTCACCCACATACTTGTATAGATTACGGCATTCAATTTTTTTTAAAATCTCTCGTGCTGCATTCAGTTTGGGATCAGAAGAATATAAAATCTCCAGGAAAATGTTATCTGCCAATTTGATAAAATTTCAGGTATGTTAAGATGGGGATAAAAAAGGTTTAAAGACTCATACACCGCTGTACTTCTGAAAGGATTTTAAGTGGACATTTACAAATGTAAGCACAGTATAACATTCAATGTCTTGGATTTGCTTTAAGATAATCTAGTGCATGGGAAAGGGCATATAGAGATGGCTTAAGGTTGGGTGATGGGTAAATAGGGGTGTATTAATTTGTTGTTGTGCTTTATTTTCTTAAAGAGAATGATACTTAAGTAATTATAAAGTTATGTCTGAAATCTACTTCAAAAACAGACCAGTATTTTATGGGAGTGGGTGGATGGAGGGGATGAAGCAAAATTGCCATGTTAGTAATTGTTGCAGCCAAGTGATGGGTACATGGAATTTTGTATGTTTCATAATAAAAAGTTTTTTAAAGTTCCATGATGAAAGTAGAAGGTAGTTGTTTTTAAGATTTTATTTTATTTTTTAAGATTTTTTTTTTTAAGTTTATTTATTTTGAGGGGCACCTGGGTGGCTTAGTCGGTTAAGCCTTCAACTTCGGCTCAGGTCATGATCTCCCAGTTTGTGAGTTCGAGCCCCACATCAGGCTGTGTGCTGACAGCTCAGAGCCTGGAGCTTGATTCTGTGTCTCCCTCTCTCTCTGCACCTTCCCTACTCATGCTCTGTTTCTCTCTCTCTCTCAAAAATAAATAAACATTAACAAAATTGTTTTTAAATAAAAAAATAAATTTAACATTCTATTATTCCAATTTAATTAAGATATTTTGGGGTAGAGGGCTTGCATTGGAAGGGAGGGAAGGGATAAGGTCCACTTATTTCCTAGGAATATTAAGGGAAAAAGACTAAAGTAAGAAAACGGTTCCCTAAGGCAGTGGTCATATGACATTTGCTATGTTTAAGACAGCCAACATCTAGGTAAGCTGAAACATTTATAGGCATTTTTATTTTATTTTTATTTTATTTTAAAGTTTATTTATTTTGAGAGAGACAGTATGAGCAGGGGAGGGTCAGAGAAAGGGAGAGAGAGAATCCCCAAGCAAGCAGGCTCTGGGCTATCAGTGCAGAGCCCAACTTGGACCTCAATCCCAAGAACTGTAAGATCACGACCTGAGCTGAAATCAAGAGTTGGATGCTTAACCAACTGAGCCACTGGGGCACCCCTATAGGAATTTTTATAGGAATTTATAAGTAGGAATTTAGGAAGTAGAGAGGACAAATTATGACATATTCATAAAAGGAACTACTACTCGACAATAAAAAGGAATAAACTACTGATGCATGCAATCTAGATGAATCTCAGACACATAACACTGGGTAAAAGGAGCCCTACAGAGATGAGTACACCTGCCTGACTGCATTTATGGAAAAGTCTAGAACAGAGCGCCAGGCTGGCTCAGTTGGAAGAGCATACGACTATTTTTTTTTTTTTAATGTTTATTTAGTTTTTTGAGAGAGACAGAGTGTGAGCCAGGGGAGGGGCAGAGAGAGAAGGAGACACAGAATCTGAAACAGGCTCAGCTCAGAGCCTGACACGGGGCTCAAACTCACAAACTGTGAGATCACGACCTGAGCTGAAGTTGGACGCTCAACCGACTGAGCTACCCAGGTGCCCCGAGGATGTGACTCTTGATCGCAGGGTCATGAATTTGAGCCCCATGTTGGGTGTAGAGATTACTAAAAATCAATAAACTTAAAAAAAAAAGTCTAGAACAGGCAAACAGTGGTTGTTTCTAGGGGTGAGGTGAGGGCAAGAACTGACTGGGATGAAGCATGAAGGAATTTCCTAAGGAGAAGATAATGTTCTATATTCTTGCATGTGTCAAAACATTAGCAAATGTACATAAAATGTGTGCATTTATACGAATTGTGTGTGCATTTTACATCAGAAGAAAAATCTATAAATTATTGTTGAACTTTAATCTTCATGCTAAAGGAGTTAGGGTAAAATGTCGGGTAAAATTTACTTAAAAATGCATCAAAACTGGGATGCCTGGATGGCTCAGTCAGTCCGACTCTTGATTTCAGCTCAGGTCATGATCCCAGGGTCATGGGATTGATGCTCACATTGGGCTCTGCGCTGATCATGGAGCCTGCTTAAGATTCTTTCTTTCTCTCTCTCTCTCCGCCCCTCTTCCCAGCTCATACTCTCTCAAAAAGAAAAGAAAAGAAAAGAAAAGAAAAGAAAAGAAAAGAAAAGAGAAAAAAAAGGAAGAAAATGCATCAAAATTCAGATGGGTTAACGGACAGGATGGTAAGTGACAGACAAGTCATAGAGCAAGTTCAGTAAATGCTAGAACAGTACCGGTGTGGTGAGTGTATAAGTGTTCACTGTAAAATTCTTCCAACATTGCTGCAGGTTTCAACACTTCCCAGTAACATGTGGAAAAACATTCTTAAAAATTAAAAAACAGGGGCGCCTTGGTGGTTCAGTCAGTTAAGCGTCCGATTTTGGCTCAGGTCATGATCTCGCAGGTCATGATCTCGCAGTTCATGAGTTCAAGCCCCACATCAGGCTCTCTGCTGTCAGCATGGAGCCCACTTCAGATCCTCTGTTCCTTTTCTGCCCCTCCCCAGCTGTGCTTGCTCTCTCTCTCTCTCATAAATAAAATAAACATTAAAAAAATTAAAAAACAAGAAGTGGAGACTTTTAGATAAAGTGAGTTGACTTTTGGAAAAGCAGCCAAGGTAAGGAAAGCTCACATGGTCCTATTCCTTCCAGGTTATGTAGTTAAGGCCAGTAAAGATTTTATGACTGCTCAAAATAATATGCAAGAAAGATAAGATTCTGGGTCTCAAATGATGAAAGCTGGAAAATCCATATGCTTATTCTACCATACTCTTGGCAGATAAAGCACAAAAATGTGACCTAACATTTTGTATAGGATTTTTGACATTAATACAATATCCAAGGGTATAACCAGTGGACTCATCTCATTGAACAGGGTAAAAGCTAGTTTGGGTATTATAGAACCTTCAGAGTGAGACAGAGCTATGTATAGTCATGTAGTAAAACCACATTAGGGGGCGCCTGGGTGGCTCAGTTGATTAAGTATCATCACTGCTGTCAGTGTGGAGCCCGCTTTGGATCCTCTGTCTCCCACCCCCCTCAAAAATAAATAAACCCAAAAAAAAAAAAAAAAAAAAAAAAA